GGGACTCCCCCCCTGCCCTGGGCAGCCCATTCCAACACCCAACAGCCCCTTCTGCACAGAAATCCTTCCTCAGAGCCAGCCTGACCCTGCCCTGGGCAGCTTGAGGCCATTCCCTCGGGGCCTGGCGCTGGCTCCTTGGCTCCAGAGACTCATCCCCCCTCTCTGCCCCCTCCTGGAAGGGAGTTGCAGAGGGCCAGGAGGTCTCCCCTCAGCCTCCTCTTCTCCAGACTGAACCCCCCCAGTTCCCCCAGCCGCTCCCCAGCAGACCTGTGCTCCAGACCCTGCCCCAGCTCCGCTGCCCTTCTCTGGACACGCTCGAGTCATTCAATGGCCTTTTTGGGGTGAGGGGCCCAAAACTGAACCCCCTCAGTGAGGGGCGGCCTCACCAGTGCCGAGCCCAGGGCTCAGATCCCTTCTCTGTCCCTGCTGGCCACACCAGGGCTGACACAAGCCAGGATGCCACTAGCCTTCTTGGCCCCCTGGGCACACTGCTGGCTCGTGTTCAGCTGGCTGTCAATCAACACTATGTCACAGTGTCCTTCACATCCCTGCTGGAAAAGACACTGGCTGATTTAAACCAGGTTTATCTTGGTCTTGCTGCTCTGCTCTTTGGAGGGAGGAAGGATTTGGAAGACAACAAGAGAGCTCTTTTGGCCCTTTTCCCAATGGAAAACGTACTGGTGGCATCACAATCACACACAGGATTTACCAGGCTCGTGTAAATAGGTTGGGAACTCCGGAGGTTTGGGGTTTTTCCTGTTGTCAGTGTGCTCAGAGAGCAGTGGAGCTGCATGGAGGCATTTTTGACAAGGCTTCAGGGTGACCAATGTCATGGCCTGCAGTCCAAGGAGTTTACTGTGTTCTATATGATATCCTCAACTGCCTTTTGAATTATCGTAGTAGTTAATCTGTTACAGCAATAGCACTTAACCACTGAGCATTTGCTGCTTAGATCCTGGGCGCTCCACCCCGAGCTATTCCAGTCCTTGTAATAAAAAGCAGAACCTTTCATAAAACTTAAAAATTTACTGTGTAATACTTGCTTTCTCTTCCTTCTGTCACATAAAAGGCATAATCGACTTGAACCAAAGCCGTTTACTGTTTGTGCTGATCAGTTCCTTTTGCTGTTAACGGTGGGGAAGAAGAAGTGGTGATTTTGGGAATAGCTTCAGAAGTTACACGTTATCCTTAAAAACAGCCTGGATGTTTTGAACCATCTACCTGATTTATTCTCATCTAGTGGAATCAGTTGGTCAAGGTGCAATCTCAATAAATCCAGCAGATTTAAGGGCTCATCACAGAGTGTGCTGGTAAAATGCCGTTTAATAGTGGTGGTGAAGTCTCGGGTGATGACTGGCATGCTGTCCTCGGGTGCTGGGGATTAAGCAAATTGCCAGATTTGCCACTGGGAGAGAGTTTTCTTCCCAGGTGGGTTTGGGTTTCTCCCACCTCCTCCTGTCAGGAGAGGAGCCGCTCATGCCCTCTCCACGAAGGAGGACACTGTCCCTGCTGGTGCAGGTCTCTGCAGGCACCCTCTTCTTCCTCCTCTCTTCCAGGGCACCCGTCTGGTTTTAACCTTTTCCTACAGATCTCGAGTTTAGGCTGGTTTGGAAAGAGTTTTGTGGTTTCCTATGTGAAATAGATCCTGCTGGGGACTCGCCTGAACTGTTCACCTGCTCCTCAATGCTCTCTGGCTTGCAGGAGTTGGGGCCCAGTAACCCAGGTGATTCTTATAAAAGTCTCTGACGTTACCAGTTTTCATCTCTCTTCCTGGAAAGAGAGGCACAATAACCTTTCTAAAGAAAATACTTGTCATTATTTTATCTTTTTCTCCTCCCCTTTTCTCAGTGCTACATTAATTTTCCCTCAGGTCTCTCTGCACCTGTATCCATGTTAGCAAACTGTTTTCTGGTACCATTTCCTGAAAAGGGTTAAAACTCTTTTAGGGAGCTTGATTTTAGGGCTCATCTACAATAAGAATGATCACTATCACAATAAATAATAATCACTATTGTGACAGGGGGAACTGTGTAACCAGATCTCTCTATTACATGAGCCTGCACTTGCAATCTTCAGATTTGGCTGTAAAAATCTTAGTGCAATCTCATCCCAAGGTCTTCCCAGTAACATAGATCTTCCCAACGTGCCGTTTCCCTTGTGCTACAAACACTCTTCTCTAGCAACCGCTGTCCCCAGTTGCTGCTTTTCAGCCCTACATCGTTGCGACAAGACACTGTGAATTTTTAACGAAAACTTGAAGAACTGAATTTTGATTTGTAGAAAAGTCCTTGTAGCAGCAGCACCGTTCCTCGAAGGAAACCAGAGGCATTGCTCTTTGCCTGTGCGAGTTGGGAACGTGCCGGGAAGCTGAGGCCATTTCCAAATAAAGTTGGTGGTGTCTGATAAGGGGACGACCGTGGTGTTCCAGGGGGAAATGGCCGCGGCCGGTTGGTAAAGGACTCACGGGGTGCAGGATGTGATGTCCTTGAGAATTTGTAATAGGAGAGGGTTTTGCTGGAAAGGTACGTGGTGCGTTTTCATCAGGGTTGTTAATCTGTTCAGTCTGACCTTTGTAAGGAGTTTGTGTACGAAGGGTTTGCCCCTGGAAATGCTCTGAGCCGGGTGCTCAGTGCCTGCCTCTCTCCATCGCTCCGAGACGGGCTGTCTGGGTTAGCTGGAAAACAGGCGCTTAGGGAGGGATTCAGTTTGCATTACCTGTCTTTACGTTAGCATTTTGACTGCATTATTTTTTTTTAAATAAAACTGAGTGCTGATACGAGATTTAGGTAATTTCCATTGCTTGTGATGTTACTCAGGTAATCAAGATTCAGCTCTGAGCATGCAGCTCTGCCTGGCAGCTTTACATGGGATGTGTCCCAGTACAGCTGAAGATACTACCTTTCCCCATCCCAGTCAAAACTAGAAAAAACCTAAAGGAGATGAAATACAGCATCGTATAAATGTTCTTGAAGTTTGGAGCCTGAAGTGCTGCTGTAGCTCTCGGGTCAGCAGAGTTTGCTGGAGCTGCTTCTCATCCCTGTGAGGCTGGAGAGCATGAAGATGCTGAAAATAAACCCAGATCAGGGTTTAAGGAGGTTTCCTACTGACTAAGCAGTCTTGCTTCAAGAAAGTCGCTGTGATTGATGGCACATCTCAGCTCCGTAAGCTGGGCGATAGCTGCTGGTCCTTTGTTTTAGCCCTGGGTGCAGATGCATTTGCACTGAGTTAACAGGAGGAAGAGTTGTGGTTCCCCGGCAGCCGGTTCAGGGGGAGAAGCAGTTGTCCTGCTGCTGTACTGTCAGCAGAGACACTTAAACCGAGGTACTGTTATAGTTAAAAGCTGTGCTTCAGAGGGCTGGCTGAGCCCGAGCAGGGTTTGGAAGAGGCTGCTGCCTGTCAGTCGGGGTACACTGAGCTGCACCGAAAATCTCCGTGCTGCTGCCTGCCTGTCAGCTCTGTGCTGTTTGCTGGCTTTCAGAAACACCAAAATTTAACTTTGCCTTGCTGTCAAACACAACTTTCTTCCATTATTGTAAGTTCACGTGTGGTCACACCGCAAATGCAGATCAGCTGAGGGGTGGCACTTTGATTTTAATTCTCCCCTCACCCCTTAAAAAATACATATTTTATCCAACGCCGTGCCGGGAAACTTGTGGTCACTGGCGTGGGGCTTATGCCATCAAAGTGCCCATTTCACATAAAGCTTCTGTGACATTGTTGAGTAACGGGGTGGTGGGGGTGAGCAGAGGTTAATTACGTTGTGTAATTATGTTAAGCTCTTGCTGCTAAAAACATTTTAAAGACTTTGTTCGACTCTTGCGTGTTGGCCTTACTCTTGAAATCCTTTTTATAAGGAGGAGGAGGAAGAAAATCTGGGATGGGAGAAATGCTTAAAATAAGTAAATTAATTTAAAAAATTGATGTTGGGGGTGTGTATTTCTGTCCTCTGCCCTCATGGCACCCCCCTTGGTGCCTGGTGTCCCCAGGCACCCAGAGGGGAGCAGCAGTGCCCGAGGAGGAGGAGGAGGGATGCTCCGGGGTGCCGGCCGGGTTAGCCCCGCTGCGGGTTGCCTGCCGCCGGCTCAGACTGGTTTCTGGAAAGTGCTTTGTCTCGCAGGCTGCATCCTGGGAAGGGTCATGTGGAGCCCAGTGATGTCATGGGATCAAAGCCTGACTCAGCTCCGCGTCCGATGGATGGGTGTCCGCAGGTACCGAAGTGCGGGCTGAGATGGCAGAGCCCACCAGCAGCAAAACTTCCCACGCCTCCGGCAGGCGAGGAGTTAAGGCTGGTTCCCCCGAGCCCAGCGCTTCCTCTGCCGCCTGGAAAAGCCTGGCTCCTTCACCAGGAGGGGAGAAAGTCTCAACTTGAGTATTACAATGGCAGTGCCTTAGCGCCGGGCGGCAGGCTGTCAAGAACTCTGGAAGCCTCTCTTCACGCAGGGTGTGGTGGTCCTTTTCCCCATAGTGTCTGACTCCCGAAACTTGCAATCAGGCTCAGGTCCTCAGAAAGACATGGCAGCAGTCCCAGGCAGATCCTAATCTAGAATTTTGTAATTGCGTTTATTTGCATGTGAGGCAAATACATACATTCTTCCTGCCTTTTGGTAAAGAGCCAAACTTTTTTTCGTCGTGGGGGTTTGTATGTCTCTCCTCTAATGCAGGGTTTTGTTGTGTGTTTTTTTTTCTTCTCCTTGGTGATTCTAGTTCATGCTTAGTGGGGTTTGTGTGTGTGTTCTTGTTTTGTCTTTTTTTTTTTTTTTTATTTGTTTGTTTGTGCTTAACATAAAAAGTGTAAGTACAGTGATGCCGGGTGCTTAATAGCTTCAGACTGAGATGTATTTTGAAGATAGGGTAAGTGAGCATACTGGCAAAACTTTGATTGCTCTTTCTGAACTTCTTTTGCAGTAACCACTGTACTTTGCCCTGTTTTGAAATTAAGGTGTTTTGTCCAACTTTTTTTTCCAGTGTACTTACCCCATTTGTGTCTCCTCTCTCCCCAGAGCCTCACAATGACAGAGGAAGCATGCAGGACACGGAGTCAGAAACGAGCGTTAGAACGTGAGATAACGCACAACGATGTGGACAGTAAAAAAATAAAAATGGAGAAAGGACTGTTAGGAACAGATATAAATGCTGAAGGCGACATGAAAATAAAAACAGATCCTGGAGCTGGAAAAGTGCAAGGATTATTAAAAAGCGGAGAGGTGAAAGCGACCATTAAAGTGGAGGTTCAGACGGGAGATGAGCCTGTGGACATGAGCACCTCAAAAAGGTGAGTTAAACCTGTAACCTCTGGGGCACCAGCACAGCAGGAGGAAGTCCTCTGCATCATGAAGGTAGAGAGAATTAAATTTTTACGTGTCTGTTGCAGCTCTGGCTCTTCACGTGAGATTCAACAGCTACTTCTGTATAACTTCCTTACTGATTTTTTCTTCCAAAAGCTTTGACAGCAGTGGCAGCTGTGATGAGCAGCTGAATAAAGAAATACGGTCTTGAATAGAAAAACGTACAAGTTAGAAAGAGGATGCGCTTTGAGCTACTGATTGAGATTTATGTGAGGAAAGAGTGGTTTGGGGTTTTGTAATTGAGCTGTGATATAGGAAAAATAATAGATTATAATTGTCTAAACAGAGGAGTTTTAATTGCAACTTGATTCTTCCTGACAGAGCAGTATGTATGGATAAGTCTGACTTTCTTTTTGAAGGAACTTGTGGATTTTGACACTGGAAGTGTTATGAAAAGGCAGCACCTGTCTGCAGCAATTCTCTGTAAGACAAGCTCTTAATACTTTTTTGAAAGTCCAGCCTCCTTAAGATGTCTGAATTTTGACATCTGAAAGCATGAATTCAAAGTTCTGTAGCACTTTGGAGAATTTTATTATTACTGAAATGTAAAGCTTTTCCTTTGACTTCAGTGTGAGAGACACACATGAATTGGGTGGTTCTCACATCTCCAGGCATCACTTTAAAGGCAGATTCCGAATCTTCTGCCGTATTTCTAACCCAGACTCTGGCTGTACCAGCATGAAAATTCTATCAGAAGTTCTGTGGCCCTGATGTTGGCCCTTTAAGGTCTTGTTTTTTATTTTGTAGTCCAGTAAGATCCAATATATTGAGCAGGAAGTCCAGAAGCCTCGTTTATTCCTGGTGCTGACACCAGCTGATGCTGGAACAGTAATATGTGAGAACTGAGACCTGCCTTGTCTGTGCAAAATGACTTGAACAGTTCTTGGGAGTAATAAATCTGTGTTTGCTTGGATGTCAGGTATTACAGCAGTGCAGATTTGAGGTGTGAAGCTGAAAACTTGAGATCCTTATCAACTGCGCAGGAATTACTGGGAGGAGAGGTGCTTATGGGTGCTACCAAGAAAACTGGTATCTTTGATGTTTAATGGCAGTTCATCTGTTAAACTTTTCCAAACTTTTGATGCTTTTCTAAGAGAAATAACTCAGACTGCAAAAGCCTGATTACTTTATCCAAATATTACTTCAGTGTATGTAAAGCAAGACCTCTTCCATCAGCGTGATTGAGGGAAGGTGATAGATTTTAGCTTTCTCTATAAACCTTCTGCCAAAGGGACAATTATACAAGTTGCTCAATTTGATACTTAGGAGGTGCTTGTGTCTTGCACAGAAGCAGTTAATTGGGGTACTGGATGACTTCCATGTCAAGCAGTCATATTGTGCTGACTAGGAGTAAACCTCTGAAGGTGTCTTTTGGCGCTACCTACTAATTAACAAAGTTATGCATGCCCTTTTTTTTTTTTTTTTTGAAGAATATCTAAAAAGATTGCTCATACCAAAAATTGAATAAATTAGAATCAGGTATTCTAACTCTTGTTGCAGTACTTGCCCCCACATGCATGTGCTCTTTGAGAATTTATCATATTTTTGAAACGTGTGCCAGTGTTTCTGCGCTGTTGGTGTCCGTCTCTGTGGCAAGACATGCAAACAGGATGATGAAGGGGCTCTACATTTAACTTCCCAGAGAGCATCTGGAACAATAACACCTATTTAGATGAGATGGGAGAACATCCTCTTTCCGGACGGCGTTCTTATTTCAGGTGGTAATAGGATATTGTTGTATTCAGTTTCGGCAAGGAGGGAGAAGAGGCTTCCCCATACAAAAAATATGCTTGCGTAAGGGGGCAGTCTGATCCCAATTCTGCTGAAGTTAATAAATATAATTAAGAGTTTCACGAGGCTTTGGATAAGCTCTTTGGATACTCTTTGTGAGTTAGAACACCTTTCGTCATGCATATTTGTATAAAGTTCTTAATAGGGAGGAATTAAACCCTGGGTCATCTCAAATGATAAAAATGAGCCTGAATGATTTCTGCAAACTTCTGGGAGTGAGGCAGCAGCTTCCCAGGCCCTGGGGCTCTGCTCCTGCATCGTGGCTGTGCCCTTGGTCCCTGTGTGCCTCCGTTCCCGAAGCATAAACGTGGTGCTGAGCAGCTGACCGGCCTCAGGATGCAAATATCTCCAAGTGAATGCAATCTGAGTCTGGAGATGCCTGTGAGACAGAGGAAGCTTGTCTCTGGATGAGTCTGATCCCTTGCATATATAAGAATACAATTGGCATTTGTAGGGAAGGTGGATCTTAATTTCATAAGGCTTTTTTTTTTTTTTTAATAAAGTGTGGGACTTACCTTTCCAGACCTTTGATCTTTAGAGGAATTTAGCTCACAGCTTTTATATGACCTGTGTCTTTAAAGCAGTTGAGCTGATTTTCTGAGGAGATGAAAAAAGAGCTGTTGCTTAAAATGACTGAACGGCTACAAACTTCTTGGGTAAAATTCATGCTTAGTGATGTATGGTGTTTTGGCTTTTAAACTCCCTTAATACTTTTAGAACTGAAAACATAATATTTTCCTTGGAAAATGTAGCCCAGCAATAATCACAGTTTAACTGATATAAAGCTGATTGAATGGATTATCTTCCTGAAATCAGTTGATTTTTCAAGATTTGAACTACAAACCTGGCAATATCTCTGCGTTAAATATTTTTCTTTAATATTTTTTTTTTCCTAAACCTTAAAGTTAAATTTAAAAATAGTGTCTGGTTTGAGCACATTTACTGATGCCAGAAGAAACAGAAGAAAGTCTGTAGTGGTAGAAGTCTTTGATGAGAGGTCACACAAGGCCAAACCAAAATCCTGCTCCTCTGCCTGGCGTTTTTGCAGCACTGGGAGCTCGCTACGCTGCTGTGTAATTATCCCAGACCTACTGTGGAGAAGGGATGGGAGGAAGGAGAGTCTGCTCCCCTCGATAAGGACACGTCTTGTTTGCAGTGGGATGCTAAAATAGTGTCACATAAATGGCTTTGCTTATGAGTACACTGACTGACATCAATATGGGTGCTGGAGGGAAAGAACGTTTGTCAAACCGGGTTGAATCCTGGTGTCTTACGGCGCTTCCAAGCTCTGCTTTCCCTTTGCTCTGCTCTTCATCTCTCTGTTCTTTCCTTGCCTGTAAATACATGAGTTTCCTACCACGTGTGCCCAGTGCTGAGCATCAGTTGCTTCCCGCTGAGGCTGGGGCTTTCTCCTGGAGCTGTTCCTGGCTCCTGCTGCCCGCTGCATCCCGCTGCATTGATTGCACTCCAGATGCAGATCCCTTCATCTGTGGTAAACATTCTGATAATTTTGCAAGGGTTTGTTTTGATTTGGTTTTGGGTTTTTTTTTTTTCCCCTAGTTCTATTTCCTGAGCTACACAACACGAACTAGCTGCATACACAGTCCTGGTTAAGCTCATGATTTCTGGTGTTCTCACAGGAGGGTTTGGCAGAGACCAAAAGTGATCTTTCTGGACGCAGCAGGATGGGAGCTGCTGTGCTCAGGCAGGTCTGCGAGGACAAATTCTCCTCTCTTCTGTGTCTGTGAACCCAATTATAGGAAAACCTTGCTCATAAATAGAGGTGTAGGGTGTTTACAAGCAAGAATACTACTTGACCCTGTGAGCAGCTGTGTTGTGCTTGGTTGTTGTGCTGTGCTATCTTAAATCCTCAAAATTATAGTAACTCTCCAAATAGATAACCTCAAAATATGTTTTGCTTCAGAATTCTAAAAAGCAGAGCTGCTCTGTGCGACAAGAGAAGTGAGAGAGAGAAATGGTTTTGTCACAGCACACAAGCATGATGGCAGTGGTGAAGGTGATATTGTTAATAAAACACAAAGAGTTGGCTTCTGTCTCTCCCCAGTTCTTGCTTTGGCTTGATAGCAACCTTGGGATGAATGTGTCCTCTGTAAAGCAAACTGGAAAACTTTTTAGGCAATTGAACATCTGGCAATTTTTCCTGTGTTGTCATGAGTGGTAAATTAGTGTATTAACTATTTAATCTGTATTAATTGTGGTTTGATCAAAAACAGTTCAAGGCGAGCTGATAAACGGAAATGATTCCTATAGATTTCTTATAATTTGGGGTCTTATTTTTTAAAAAGACCAGCAACAAATTCCAAACCACTAGATGTATTGTGTCATCTTCTCACATTAAGCTACAGAGAGTCTGGATTTTCCTTCCAAAGTCTGGAGAAACCAAAAAGTCTGCATTTGATACGTTTGGTTTATTTTCCACAAAAATTGCTCGCACACTATTGTCTCCCGACGTGTGGTACACACAAGCATCAAATCCACCCGCAACACAGAGATCCTGCTTCTGGAAATGACATGGGAGCCTGCCCCGACTTCAGCCCTTGCTTGTTTGCTTAAATGAAAACTGTCAGGAAGGGTGAGCGTGAAGAGCGTGGAGGCATCCCTAGAGCTGGTGCTCTCGGAAAAATAATCTATCTGAACGCCCGTGGGTCCTTCAGTTTGAGGTCTGGCTGGTTATGATTTGTGTGCTTGACAGACGTTGCACTACTCGGGAACCTCGGAGTAATCATGTTCTTTTGTTACACGGGACGATTTAAAATATCATCTAATAGAAATTGTTTGGAAATTGTATGAAAGTTGGCCTCATAGCAGTGCTCTGAATTTCCGCGTTAGGGTTTGGATGCTAAATTTTGGCGCTTTGAAGTATTTTAGGTTGGTTTGGGGGTTTTTTGGTTTGTTTTGTTTTCATGTGGCCAAATCGCATTTAAAACTTAGGAAGTGAATGGATTTAACTCTGAAATTCTAACGTGTTCTTAAGCACATTGGGATGCAGCCTGTGTTGGCTGACCAGACTCTCCACTTTACTGGAATTTACTGGGAACAGCCTGGAAATATGGCACAGCCCCGTGCTTCAGATCCCCTTTTCAGCTTGTGTACGTCGTGTCTGTGCCTCCTGCTA